ATAATACGATTTAAGGGCTAAAACACAATCAACAACCTTGACTGCTGACCCTGCCTCCAATGCATCCTGAGACGATAAATATGGAACACACAATGTGCAAATGAAAGTAGGGGTGACATGTACATAAAATACATATATGAGCAAATGATTTACCCTTTCGAGGCCAGAAGCTTCAAAAGCAGGCAGCTTCAACTCTTCCACGGCGACCAGAAAGTTACGGACATTCTCGAAGTACTGATATGCAGGCAATGCTTGAGATTCCCAACTTAATGATTGCAAAGGCATTTGGCTCTCCACAACCTTAGATAGTAATTAGGATATATAAATAAATAAATGGAGAACAAGTGTTAGGACTGGATAGAACTAGAAACTTCGCTTATATATACAAGAACATATGCCTATTTTTACTGTTGGAAACAAATCAGCCATAGAAATCTAACATATCATTTTCCTTTACGTTCTTCGCTTCCTTCAACCAAACAGAGAAAAAAACACGAGTCTGAGATCGAAATGAGATACCTTGGGCACTGCTCCTGGTTGAATCTTGTTGATGGCATTGCATAAGATCAGACCATTTCTCAAGCAAGAAATGAAGTCTCTCTCCGATGGCTGTTTTGGTATGCCAAGTGGACCCACCAGGCATTCAAGCCATTCAACGGCTTGGAATCGCCTCCAAGCTGTCAAAATTACCAAATTCAGAAATTAAAGAAAAATTTTAAAAATTTCAACAATTCTTAAAAAATCAATAATTTCGGTCCCCGTCTGTTTCTGAAGATTTAACGCAGAGCAAATTTTATAGAATCCTTGATCTGCGGAATTCAAAAACCAAGAAAGTAATCCAAAATTCAATTGATCCAATCACAACCCAATTACTATCAGTGGATAAAATTTGTTCAAATCTTGAAAACACAGTTGCTATTAGTTAATTCCACAAACAATTCCAAAATATAATTCCTCTTTATTAAAACTGGAAACAAAAATTTATATTCTGATCAAGCAACCAAACCAATTGGAAAATCAAAATGAAAATGAATTTAACGAACCAACCGACCTGCTTCTTCTGCCTTTCTTGAAGCCCTTGCAAAATCATGCAGTCCAGTTCTTGCACTGTCCTCCATTCCTTCTTTCCTGCAAATTAACGAGAAAAATATATACTAAACCACATAACATTCCAAAAGAACAAAAAAAGGCACCCAAAGTTATCGTACCGAGATATAGAGAGAGAAAATTCAATAACATACCCGATATGTTTTCTGGGTTTTTCTGTAAAACCCCAAAAACCCAGAATCTTGAGAGAGAGAATAGCAGAAGGGTCTGCACTCTACAGAGAGTCTAGCATGAAAAAATGCAGCATTCTTGGGGCTCTTGGCTTTCGGGCTAAATGTAGGTACCGAACTCCAACTTGAGGCTTCGGAATCCTAACGTTTCTTTTTTTTGAATTCAAATAGGTAGAGCTGATCGCACCCGTTCAATAGGACGACTGTTTGTTCTCAGCCAACGGGTGGGATCTCCTAAAAATTGAAGCTTTTGAAGTTCGGGTTCCTCGTCAAAATGAAAAAAAAAGTTCGGGTTCTTGTCGTACTGGGCCTCGGGTTTGGGCTTCTGGGCTTCGGATTGTTACCAGGAGCTTATTACAGATGAGGAATTAAAGGAAGAGAGGGCGCGACAAAGAGAGAAGATTGAGGATTTTCTGTTGTTTGTTCTCGTCACTTGTGCCTTTATATATTATAAATTGGTGAGGAATGCACTGTTCTAAAAATCTACGCTTAGGTGCTAGACAGCTGGCCATTACCTTTAATTAATCCCTAAGTGTTTGAAAATCAAGAAATGGTGCCTAGCCTGCCTAGATCACGACTATCACCTATACAGAAAATAGATAACTTTCATTTTGCATTTTATTTTTTCAATATAGTGGGAGATTTTTTGAATCCTCGAATAAACACTCATTATATGATTATTTCCCATGTTTTCAATATATTTTAATACATTATAATTATATACCATTTTATTTTGTAATTTTTGTATCCCTATACAATTATGTATTTTTTAAATATGAATAGACACTTATTTATACAATATATAATAAATTTATTTAAATCTGCATAGTTCGCCTAAGCCCTGCCTAACCGCCTAGGCTCTCTAACAATGGTGGAGCCACATGGAGGCAAGGGTAGGGCAGACCCATCCTGGAATTATTTAATATATATATAAATTGTCTGCTTCTTTTATAGCTTGTGCTGCATTGGTGATTAGTATTTGAGAATACTAGAGGAGTGATGGGTTCGAAGCTGATGGACCAAAAACTTTCTATTTTGTTTTTTTAACCCAAACCTCTGTTTTGCTTTTTAACCCGAACTTTCTTCTTTTTTTTTTTCAAACGCAAACTTTCTGTTTTTTATACATGGCCTTATGACTAGTCTTCTGTTTTAACATATAAAATTTAATTGCTCCTTCTAGTCAGTTCATATAAAACAATGCCTATATAGTTTAGGCCCTTATCTTTATCTTTTTTTTTTTTTTGTTTATAATAAACCTTAGAAGAGTGTAGTTATATTGGTTGAGGAGATAACCTTTTAAAATTGTAGAATCCTTATTAAACTGGGAGAATCCCAGAGGATATCTAAGAAGTAGATAGTACATCCTTTTAGGAGTGTGAATTGACATGCCCCCATCCCAATGTCCCAGACATCGGGATGATAGCGTGTCATGAATACTTGTAGTGCACAACAATCTTTAGATTGTAAGGACTCCAAGATTATAGGAAACCTACTAGTTCCTTGCTGGATTATGTTTTTGTATCTTATGGAACAAGTATGGTCAATCTCAGCAAAGTTGTCGGACTTCGCCTATTGACTCTGAAACAAGATGGCGGTGGTGTCGTTTCTCCGTTTATTCACCTCCACATCGGACGCTATCGAGTCCATGATCGGATTTTAGAGGTATGCATATTTCAATCTGCCTTACTTCAGCCCTAGAAAATCATGGTACCACAATTACCCCTAATTGTGTATTTGAAAGGATTATTATACCAACCTGTTCCTGTAACTACTTTATGCATGATCTGCATTGTTGAGTTATTAGTGATTTACTTGTATCCTTGGCATAATTGCTTTTATACTTTCCACTTTGGTTTTTCATACATATTTATGATTCTGGAAGGTTCTATAGTGAGGGGTTATTATGTTCCAAAAGGAAAAAGGTTTAATAAATTCTTATTTTCGCCTAATCACATTTTCTGTTTTGCGCTCCTCCAAAACTTAGTAGATGGATTCTGCGGCGAGCGGGGGACCATTGGCAGATTCTAACGTTCACTTCTCACAATACAGGAAATTTATTTGTTGTTAGTTGTGTAATATCTATCCTACCTGGGATGAGAATATCCTTACTTTTACTGCACTTTTATCTATGCTCTGAAGCTGCATGCATTTATAATAAGGGTTCTTCCGCACCGCGCACTCTCACTATTTTGAATAAGGCTGGGCTTGAGCATGTTCAAAATACGCTCCAAGCCATGCAAAGACAGGGAAACTTTTTAGTTGAACAATGAGTTTCGACAATTGTATGGTTCCTACGAGAGACAGTAAGCTCGTCGTGGAAGTATGAAAAGAACCAAATTTTGGGAGATTAACAAGATATTGGAGCAATTTCAAGTAGCATTCGAGAATAAGTTCTTGCTTTCAGAGGCAAGGAAAATGGATGAGTTTATGAGCTTGAAACAGGGGAAGGCAGGGCACCATCGGAAGTTCACTAACTTATCCCGTTATTGTTATGCCATTACTGCCAGCCCAGCTGGTATGCTCCATCAGTTTAAGAAGGGGATTTGCAAAAGATTTCGTTATTTAGCGCCATCAAAAGAGATGTACCACTTACCAGGAGTTATGCGGCTTTGTTGCGTGTCGAGGACTTTGAAAATGCCCTAAGCGACAACGATGTTGATGAGGGAGTTATCATTCAGCGGAAAAACAATAGGGGACAATCATGCTTTAGTTCGCGGAGGAACCTATCTTTAAGAGGAGCGGTAACATTTATGGATCCTCCAGGGGGTTCTAACCCAAGTACACCCCAATCAAGAGGTAAATCTATTGGTAATTCCCATTTCCACATTCAAGAGGTACTTATCAGTATCCAGTTGAGGTCACACAATATCAGGGAAGCTATCCATAACACCAGGGAAGCGGTGCACTTCAGTATGGAGGTGGACAATATCAGACTACTGATGTAGCGTCCAACAGTGGTGGACAAGGTAGACAGACAGGTCGAGCTAGGCAGATAGGTAACCATATAATCAAGGGAATATGGGAAGCCGCTTGGGAGGATAGCAGACCCACAATCATGTCAGCACTCAACAACATCACCATCAAGGATGCACAAAACAAACCTGACTTGATCATGGGTATGTTGAACATTCTCACCCACCTTGCTAGAATCTTAATTGATCCGGGTGCTACCCACTTGGTCATATCCCATTTGTTTGCTCAAAATACCCAACTGTGCTCCACTTTTATTGGGTATAACTTGGGAATCGCAATACCTAGATGCGAAGTGTGTTATGTCCAATGAGAGTACCAAGGATGTATGAAGTGATGATGCCAACTAATCTTATTCATTTTTTTAGTACAATAATATATTTTACACTAGGAGAGGGGGAGTTCGGCTAAGCCACACAATGGGCAACCTAATTTGGTATCGAATTCGTCATCCACGAGATTCGAACCTAAGAGCTCTCATTTACAAGTGAATAGGAATATCACCAGACCGTAGTACTGAGTAACATCTTATTCATTTGGATATCATGGATTTCGATGTGATATTAGAAGTGCAAAATGACAAGCGTGCCAATTAGTCATTCAATACTTTGTTCATTAAACAATTAGTAATGCAATACTTTGTTCTTTTTGATACAAAACATACATGCACGCACGCACTGAACCCACAGGAGCATACAAACATAAAAGATCATCTCTTTATTTGATGATCTGATTTAAATTAACAGCCAAGACTAGAGAGAAAATTAGCTAGCCACCACCAGCTTTTTTATTGCATATCATGTGAATGATATCAAGTCCAAGAGTATCTATATCAACTGCATATACATGAAGATATTTATAACATATAAAATCACATGTTCTTACATTTTCAAAGCTGTAAATTATATAAAAGTAGTCACTAAGCTAGCATTCACTTCTGCAACTTGCGATCAAATCACCTAAAAACTATATCTCTCTCACCTACAATTTAATTTCTTTTCCTTTTATTTTTCTTCACTTTCATATTCTGAGTAAAAAGATACTGAGTTCAGGACCTCCATTACCCTCAGGGTTCAACATGTAAAAGGCCTCCGAGTCACGGCTTCCCACGACTCGTTCAAACCTAGCTCTCATATAAAGCAACTCACCTTCAGACGCGCCACCCTTTTTTCCGTCGTCCACCACTGGAATCACGCCGGCTCCGACCGACACGCTTCGAATAGTCCTCAGCACGTGCCAGTCTGACTCGCCGCATGTGCGAGACGCCGCATACCCACACTTCCTCCCGTTACAATACATAGTCCATGAAGGCTCCTGAAACAGCTTCCGACCATGCATACCTGTACGGCCAGAACCCTGTTGCTTTTCAGACTCGAGAGCAATGCGCACGAGCCCGGAAGACATCTCTTTAACGAGTGAAGACGTTGACATGGCAAGCTCGAGAAGAAAAACAGGCTCCGACTGTGGGTCCAGCTGGACGGCGAAGCTGACGTGGCCACGGCGGTTTCCGAAGAGTGTGCCGGTGACTTTTCGGCCAAGGGAGGGAGTGACGGAGAGGTTGGAGGTGAGGGCGAGCCATTTGCATGTTGGGATAATGGTGGGGAAGGAGAGGAAGCTGAGGAAAGAGCGGAGGAGTGAGGTGAGTTTTGTTTGGGTTTTGGAGAGGTGGTGGAAGGAGACTGGCGATTGGTGTTTCGGAACCAAAAGGTTGTTGGCGACGTCGTCGTTTTGAAGATGGTTAAGTGGGAAAGTTGATGATGAAGATCTGAAGTGGTTGGATGGGATGATCTTTCTCGAAGTACTTCTTGATATGGAAGTAGTACTGGTGCTTCTTTGAAGGTTGAGGTCTTGGTGTTTCATGGTGGCACTAAAAATCTACAATTTGATAGGATAAAAAATTGTTTGTATGGTTTTGCAAGCTTGTATTATCTAATCGTTTGAAGTATGGTTTTAGTGATGAATATTAATCCTAATTTGCAGAGAAAGAGTGGGGGCGTGGTGTTCTTTTGAGAGAGAGAGAGGGAGGGAGGGAGGGAGGGAGGGAGAATATTGGCCGACAAGTGATGATAGTGTCCGGAGGTGGCCAATATAAAGGGAGACGATGGAGGCTTGTGGTGATGATGATCGCATCCTAGACTTTTTTTTATAGTGTGTGCTTAATGCCTCATGTGGACCTACAAACCACCACATTATATATGTCACAGCCACACTACTTTCAGCTACCTGCTTTTTTATATAAAAAGTTGGAAAATAATTTATTTTTTCTCAATTTGTATATTAATTAGAATATATCATTTTTCTTTGTTCACAATTATTTGTTGCAATTGAAGGGAGTTGAGGTTATGGACATCCCACCTCCTGGTTGAAGCAGTTCGTAGAATCAATTAATAGGTCTCCAAATCTTCGCCACTTAGTACAATAGTCTAGTGGTATTTCTCTTTACTTGTAAGCGAAAGATTTTAGGTTCGATTCTTGCTAAAGACGAATTTGTACCACAATATTGCTAGTCCATGTTGGAGAGTTAACTTTTTGTAATTAGTTTAGTTACCTATTTAAGTCCTTGTAGTCAGATTGTAATTAGGTTATTTGATGTTTCTTTCCTTGTAAATCACTCTTGTACATTATATATTTTCCTCCTTGGTGAGAAGAATGATATCAGGAAATTAAACCCCAAAATAAGTCCTAATTAGCATGGTATCAGAGCAGAGATCTTAGGATTTCTGCTCTGCTCGTTCCCTCAAGTAAACTCGACCCTCCTATGGAGAACCTACCACCACTCCACGGTGGAAACAACCCCATCCTAATTGATTCTACTCCTACACTAAACACTACAACCCTAAACACTACTATCCTAACCGACCCTACCATGAATCCTACCCTACCTATACCTCAAGTTGTTACACATATTGTCTATCATGATTCGTCTACTGCTTCGATTAGCATTAAACTCAATGGTGCCAATTATGGAGTTTGGTTTTAGATTGTTGAGATGTTTGTTGTTGGAAAAGACAAGTTGGGCTACTTTTTTTGGAGTAATCCCTAACCACCTATCGACGATCCGGCCTTCACCAAATGGCGTACGGAGAATGCTATTGTGAAGGGTTGGCTCATCAACTCTATGGAACCCAATTTGATTGGGTACTTTCTTCGACTACCGACGGCAAAGGAAGTGTGGGACGTGGTTGCTCGCACGTATTATGACGGCTCCAATATATCTCAAGTCTATGATCTTACCTACAAGGCCTCTCGCATGAGGCAAGATGGACGACCGGTGGAGACATACTATAGTGATCTTCAATATTTATGGCAGGAGATTGATTATCGTCGACCTAATCCGATGAAGTGCGGTAATGATATTGAAATTTTTAATAAAATTGTTCAAACAGATCGTGTGTACACTTTGCTTGCAGGTTTGGATGAGATGTTTGATAAAATTTGTAGTGATATTCTACAAACTGAGCCCCTTCCTTCCGTCAAACAAACTTTTGCCTATGTTCGCCATGAGGGAATGCGACAAGCTGTGATGAATACCGGAGGATAGCTGCTAAGTGGGGCAGCCATGGTGGCTCGGCCTGCCACACGAGTCGTAGCTTCACCTCGTCCCCGAGCCCCTGATAAGTCACCTGTACTGAGCCCAGCACAAGGCTCGCTCTTTGCTGCTAGGACGGCTTCACGGCCCACCACGAGTCCCCGTCTTCCTCATCCTAAATCACCCGTCCCGGTTGGTTGTTGTACTACTGTGGTAGTGAGAAGTATGGCCGTGATAATTGCTTCTAATTGCATGGCTATCTTGACTGGTGGGAACCGTTGAAGCTTCAGAAACAACGAGAACGAGACAAGCAAGCCAATCTCACCACCTCCATGTCCTAATTATCCTTGATATCTCAAGACGATCCTCCTCCGGTTTCGAGTTCTTCCGACATGTCTCCGGAGTCCTCAGGTAATTGTGGTTATGTTTTTAATATGTATAGTGATGATACTCCATCCAGATGGATCATTGACTCCGGTGCCACATACCATATGACTTATGATCCCACTGATTTAGCTTGTGATATTGTTCCACTTCGACGTAATATTACTAATGCTAATAGAGTCACCTCACAGGTAATTGGCGCTGGCACCGTGCGCCTCACGCCCATTCTCTCTTTGCCTTATACATTACTTGTACCTTCACTAAAGCATAAATTGATGTCTCCTGACCAAGCTACTGAACAATTGAACTGTTGTGTACTATTGTATCCAAAGTTTTGTCTTATACAGGATATTCTCACAAAGAAGATAATTGGTCGTGGTACTAAGATAGGGATCTCTATTTTGTGGATGATGTCAGTACAGGACGGGTCAATCTCGCCCAATGAGCTATTGGTCACAAGAGGTGTCATATATGGTTATGGCATCACTGTTTGGGTTATCCATCTTTCAGTTATTTGCAGCATATGTTTCTAGATTTATTTGTTGGTTGTTCAGTTTCAGACTTTAAATGTGACACTTGCTTACTTGCCAAGAGTCACTGTGTTTCTTATCCACTGAATTCTAATAAAAGTGTTATTCGGATGTTTAAGGACCATCTTTGATTACTACTTCATCTGATATTCGATGGTTTATAACGTTCATAGACGATTACACACAGATGACATGGTTATATCTTCTTAAGCATAAAAGTGATATTTTTTCGGCTTTTAAGACCTTCCACGCCATGGTTCAGACACAGTTTTCTACTAAAATACGGATTTTGCATTCTGATAATGGTGATGAATATGTTAATAATGATTTTTCCCATTATTTAACTAATCACAGAATTCTTCACGAAACTATATGTCCTCAGACTCCTTAACAGAACGGGGTGGCTGAGCGCAAAAATCATCATCTCTTAGAAACGGCTCACTCACTCTTGATTGAGGCGTCTGTTCCCCGCTCTTCTTGGGATGTTGCTCTTCAGACCGCCACTTATCTTATCAACCATCTGCCATCCAAAGTCCTGGATTTTCTTACTCCCTTACAAGTTCTTGCTACCTTTATGCATCTACCGTCGATTTTGGTACTTCCACCTCGGGTTTTTGGATGTGTTGCATTTGTTCATCTTCATAAAAATCAACGGACGAAACTTGAACTGTGTGCTCTTCGTTGTATTTTTATGGGGTACGAACTCCATCATAAAAGGGTACCGTTGTTACCACCCTCATTCTCGTTGAATGTATGTTACTATGGATGTCACTTTTTTCGAGTTTGAGATGTATTGCCTTTTGGATTCTTCAAATCCTCCTCAAGATGAGATACGGCATAACGAGAAGGATTGGACCATGAGTGATACTATTGATCTTCCACTGCCACTAGTAGAGCCTATAACGGTTGCGCTACCAGCCCAGCCAACAACAGCCGTAGTGCTGCCTACAGAATCAACAACAGGCACGGCAATGCCATCCTCACCCACGACACCAGTGTTGCCACTTGTCAACTTTGAGACTTCTATTGATACTACTCCCCCTCGTCTTCAAATATAGTACCACCAGATGACCATATTCCTGAGAATATTCCTGAGGTAAGCTCTACTATCCCTGTTGATGATACCGTTGTTCCGAATTATCAATTACCTTTCAGGCACAACTGGGGAAAGCCACCCAATCGATATTCACCAGACACAACGAAAGGCTCTAAATACCCATTGCCAACTATGTGTCATCATAGAGGTTATCAGAACTCGGCAAAGCTTTTGTACAACAAATATCCAATGATAGCATACCAAGTTCATCTGACGATCGATGGACCAAGGCAATGGAGGAAGAAATGGTTGCACTCCAGAAAAATCAAACATGGGATTTAGTTCCACTTCCCCGAGGAAAGAAGAGAGTTGGGTGTCGGTGGGTGTACACCATCAAGTACAAAGATGATGGGTCTGTTGAACGACACAAAGCACGATTGGTAGCCAAGGGATACACTCAGACGTATGGTGTTGATTATACAGAGACATTTGCCTCGGTAGCAAAGATTAATATGGTAAGACTATTGCTTTCATTGACGGCCAACTTAGATTGGCCATTACAGCAATTTGATGTGAAAAATGCTTTCTTACATGGTAATCTTAAAGAAGAAGTGTATATGGATATTCCATCTGGTTATGCATTGATTTTACAACCTAAAGTAGTGTGCAAGTTGAATAAAGCATTGTATGGGTTGAAACAATCACCTCGAGCATGGTTTGGTAGGTTCCGGACAGCTATGAGGAAATATGGGTTCAAGCAGAGCAATTCTGATCATACACTTTTCTTGAAACGTCGAATGGGGAAATTGACGTCACTTATCATCTATGTGGACGATATGATTATTACGGGTGACGACAAAGAGGAAATCTTAAGGCTTAAAGATTACCTAGCAACTGAGTTCGAGATGAAAGATCTTGGTGGTTTGAAATATGTCTTGGGGATAGAAGTAACTTGATCTAAACAAGGTATATTTTTGTCTCAAAGAAAAAATGTTCTAGACTTATTAGTTGAAACCGGAATGCTTGATTGTAAACCGGCTGACACCCTTATAGTCCAAAATCACCATCTTGCCATACACCTTGATCAAGTTCCCACCAACAGAGATCGCTATCAAAGGTTAGTTGGGAGGTTAATTTATTTATCTCACACCAGGCCTGATATTGTATACGCAGTAAGTGTTGTTAGTCAATTTATACATTCTCCGAGTGAGGCACGGTTGAACGCATCCTATGATACCTAAAGTCCTTACTGGGTAGAGGCATCATGTTTTCCAAGAATAATCATTGCCAAATAGAGGGTTACACCGATGCAGATTGGGAAGGCAACGTTACTGATCATCAGTCCACATCTGGTTACTTTACATTTGTGGGAGGAAACTTAGTGACTTGGTGGAGTAAGAAACAGAAAGTGGTTGCTTTATCAAGTGCAGAGGCGGAATACAAGGGTATGGCAAAAGGAGTATGTGAACTATGATGGCTTCAGAGGTTACTTGGTGAACTCAAATATCCTTCAAATTCAGCCTCAGATTTATTTTGTGATAATAAAGTAGCTATCGATATCTCACACAACCCAATTCAACATGATCTCACAAAACACAGACACTTCATTAAGGAGAAGTTG